ATATATATATATATATATATATATATATATATATATATTTGTGCGTGTGTGTATGTATGTGCGGAATTCTTATAAATAATAAGATGCGTAAATTAAAAAATGGGGCTGATGACGTAACACTTGATATGGCAAACCAGCGGTGATGATAGGTGAATCTCTTATGCATGCTTAAATATTAAATTTTAACTTCTCAAGTAAAACTTAAAATAAAACTTCAAGCAAAGCATAGGCGGAAATAAATGAATTTTACTCTATTAATTGATATTACGACTTCAAATATTTAAAGAAAATTTTTTATTGATTTTAAAAAAATTGCCATTGTGCCGATTAAAGGGTAAAAATTGTTTGTAATTGTTTTGCATTCGTAGAAGATAGAAGAGTATGAATTCAAGCTTTCTTCAATTCTGTAAAATTATTCAAATGGTTTCTTTATTCGGACTATTAGAACAATTCACAGATAGAAAAAAAATGAGTCTCCATTGCCTCGTTTATTTTTTATTTTAAAGCATAATTTCAGGTACATTACAGATTAAATATATGAAATAAATATATTGACTACTTTATAGCTGATATACCACCGCCTGGTAAGTTAATGTTTCTTCTTCTTCTAAGCTTAATTTTATTTTAATAATAATGATTTTCAATTCAGAAAAACATTACCCGCAATTAATATAAACTTTAATATGAATACATTTATCTGCAACATCGACTTAAATATTAAAAAAATATTATATAGATCAAAATGCATTTGTCACAGACCCATTAACACTAGATTGCCTAAGGAAGTCATTTTGACTGCTTTTAATTTCAATTAGAAAAACAATGATGTATATAATGAGACAATTTTTTAGAATTTTGTACAGCATATAATTTTATCATTCTTAATATTTACTAATAACTTGTTATATAACTGTAAATAGTATAAAAAAAACTAATTTTAAATAAATTCTTTTCACATAATTCATTCGTTTACAATCCTGTCATTTTGACTGCATTTGGGCAATATAGGTATATACCAATTTTCCGTCTTTCTAGTGTTAATTAGTGATAAAATGATAAAAAAATAGTTTTAAAATTTTTGAAACAGTTAAGATACTGTTACAAAAAGTACTCAAGCACTGCAGAGTTCACAGAGCTTCATCAAGCAGCTTAATTGAAGTTAACATACTATACCAACAGCTGTACCATGAAAAATTTATATATATATATATATATATATAAAC